TACGGAATAATAATTTTGTGTAAAGACAGTTATCCGGCAATACAATTTGATGTCTCTGATTGTCATTTAACGCCATAGCGTATTTTAAACGACCTCCGACGCGTATAATATTATCCCCATCAATATATGGACTAAGACGCAGTAGTTTACTTTTTTTTGACACATTCGCATTTGCACTATTTAACTCTCTCAATTCTTGCCGAAAATGTGCGCGTTGAATTATTTTGACGATTTTCGTATTTGCTCTATCTAATTCGTTTACCGTTAACGGCCCATTATTTTTATCACATACTGCTCGATTCATGTTATACCGCCAGCGTAGGCAATACGCCGTCACTCTGATGATAAATAATAACGACGACCTTCTAGATAACAACGAATAACATTTATCGTACGCTACGCATGCAACAGTCGTAATTGTTGTTTCGTCCGTATTTTTGGCTTCTGGTATATTGTTTGTACTACTGTATTGTACACATGACTTCGGCCATTTCTCGTACTCCTCCTTCAACCAATGGGGACCGTTCCACCACATCGCATTAATTCGCAATTCGTTTGGAGTACAGCCACGTGATATTAAATCAGCAGGATTGTCCTCCGAGCGGACATGACGCCAATCATTTATGGACGTTTTGTCTTGTATTTCACCAACACGATGCGCCACGAACGTTTTCCATTTAGCAGATGGAGATGAAATCCAAGCTAGGGTTACGCTCGAATCGGTCCAATAAAATTGTCGCTCGAATTTGCATTTCAACTTCGGCACTATTCCGTTTACCATTCGTGCTAATAATAGGGCTGCGCACAATTCTAGTCGAGGCAGCGATATCGTTTTTATGGGCGCGACCTTGGACTTCGCTTGTAGCAAACGCACCGTGTGCTGGCCGTTTTCGTCAGTACTTCTAATGTAAACACATGCACCATACGCTCTGATAGATGAATCGGCAAAACCGTGTAACTGTAATGTAACGATTTTATTTTCACATAATATATATCTTGGAATACTGAACTTATTTAATGTTGTTAATTGGGCACTATAATTATGCCATTCTACAGCGACTTCCTCCGAAACGGGTTCGTCCCAACTGAGTTGAATGCACCACAAACGTTGCATGATAATTTTTG